ATATATATATATATACAAGATTGATGATTAATGTTATTATTTAAATTACAAAATACATAAAGCTTTTACCTTTCAATTTTAAATACGTAATACTTTCATGTACACCGCTGAAATATAAAATATTAAATCTACTTTTATTGCGAAAACTGTTTTAAATAAAAGTATTTTAAATACATGCCCAGTCCTGAATGCATATAAAATTAGACATATAATTACGATTGCAAAAGAACAAGAGTTTCAAGATGAAAGGGCGTAGCATGGGCGATTTCTCGATAATCGATATTTGAAATTCGAATGCTGGCTGTGCAACGGAGAACGTTTCTCGCGCTCAAATTACGCTGAGATAACGAGATATTCTCCTGCCGTTGCAGTGGCCACTTTTATGATTAACACGATCCCTCAGACTTCACACATACGAGAGTATATACTTATACGTGTATTCATATAGCTAGCTACGATCCGATTTACGCTCACACATTCATGCTCTCTAGCATTGTTTATTCTTATTTAATATTTATTCCTTATTTAATATAAACAACAAGGACAAAATAAATTCTTAAACGTTGTTAACATAAATCGAACCACGGCCTGTGTTTATCCGAGTTATCTTGTGCGCTTAGATAAAACCACTAGATTAGAGAGACAAAGACTAACGATTCATGTATGATCGTGACTTATCGGTAGTATCCTTCGCATGGCTAAGCGTTGCGTATCGTCACTCCCTGGAGCACGAAGCACAATGGAATCAGCGGCGGTCTCGGTCCTGAAACGAGCGGTGGAGATGGACAAGAACGAGCAATACACGATGGCGTTGGTATTGTACCAGGAAGGCGTGCAAATACTTCTCGACGCGGTAAAAGGTATACTATATAGATCAATATAGATACCTTTTGCTTCTAGCTTCGTTTATTAAGAGAAAAAAAATGGTATATCAGCTTTATCATTACTACTTTTGTCAAGAAGTTCAAGATAATAAAACGATGCAGAGACGAGGCAAACCTTCAAGACGGAATACCTTACGACCAAGGCGAAGGAGTATCTCGACAGAGCCGAGACGGTGAAAAAGTTAATCAGCACGAGGAAATCAGCTGGCATATATACGGAACTGATTAAAATCGAGGATGGATCGACGGGGTATGGCTACGCGAGTGTCTTCGGCAGATTCTTGGATGGTAGCGTCACTTCAATTGACATCGAAGATCCATATATACGAGCCTTCCACCAGGTGTGTGTTTGCATAAGTCCCAAAGTACAATAGGTGTAATTAGTAAGCTTTAAATCACAAGATATATTATGAGTAGATCAATACTACAAATGCTTTAAAGCGTTATTTGATTGGATTAATTTCAATTTGTGAAATCCTTTCTTCTGATTAATCCATCAAATGCTTCAAAGCATTTGTAGCGAGATTTTAAGGACGTTCTCCGAAAAATCCATTTTCTTTAGATTTTTCTGAAACTTACAGAAAAAGCTTGTTTTAGTGTTCTGAACATATGCTTTGAAGCTCAGTACTCGTTACGGGATTAAAAATCGAGATATTCCACTTCAAAGTTGAAACGTTTAACGTAGAACCTATCTAAAGCTTATTCGAAAGTGGTTTTTTATTCACTGTAAAAAAAGTTTTCTTTAGAATTTTTTGAAACAAAGAGACATAAAACTTGATATTACAAGGAATAATATGAAATTTTCCTGAATATGTCTTCCGGTATTCATTTTTAAGAAACCATTTAGCAAAGTAAGCAGCTCCGCTATGTTTTCGACCGACGGCAATAGCGAAAGCGAGAGGGAAACAACGAAACAAGAGAAAGAGCGGAGTGGTAGTCAACTGTTACTTTCTGTGTGTAGAGGCGATTACGTGGACGCGAGTAAACTTTAGGTTGAGCACAACTGCAGCCGGAGGACGTCCTTAAATACATAGGGTGTGGTCTACTTGATGCTTCGAAGTATTTTATTGACCAATCAGAAGAAAGAATTTTACTAATTAAAAAATGCTTCAAAGCATTTATAGTATTAAATGGACCATAATTAGTACCTAAAAACAGTTGAATAAAAGGAAAATAATCGACTGATTATGTAAATGCAATACGTACTTAATCTGATATATTGTTATGCTGATTCTTGTATTCTGTCTTCTTTTACAGTGTCAGAATCTAGTTAGACTATGTGAACTGGCAGTTCAAAAGTGCTGTACACTGTCTAAGATATCCCTGCTTACAACTTACAACTCGAAAGAGTCTAGCCAAATCTCGAGATTGGCTGAACTGAAAGAAAGTTTGGCGTCTCGTAATATTTCTTTTGACTTCTCCTTTTCCGAGACATTGCATGACAGACAGATCACGTAAGACCAATACAATTGTTATGCTCTGAAAATTCCTTCCGAATTTATTAGTTATCTTTCTTTTTATTTCAGATTGAGCAACGGATGGGTGATAAAAATCGGACGTGGATTGGACTATTTTAAAACGCCGGAAGGCAAATTCGTTCTTGGCTCGTGCGATCTAGAGTTAAGACCGTGCCAGGAAACTACTGTACACATTCTTCATAAGAACAATTTTATTGTAGACGCAGGACCATCAAAATAGGATATTCAATTGATAATAAGATAATGGTTAATAATTTTCATATATTTTCTTCATAAATGTATATTATGGCACATTTTTAGTACGTGACAAAAGAAAACATTTACATTTTTACAGTACGCATCCGTTACAAATACATCAAGAGTTACATATATATATTTGTACATTTAACAAAATCTTTGTTTTTTCTTCGCATTCCTGTTTTACAATATAATTATTGCAATTATAATTCGCGATTATAAAATGTATGTACAGTCTTTTTTTATTGTGCATAATCTCTCACTTATTCAACATTTCATGAATTATCGCGACAAATTTTTGTTCTTTCTAGAATCCTATCAATCCAGTGGACTATGATCCTTTGCCTTCGCGATCCCGATTTGTTTCGCAGCCTTCTTGCAAGCTCGTCTCAACGATCTAGTATATTTGAACAAACCCGTGCCCGCCTGCGCCTCCTCGTCCTTCTGATTCATTTGAGCTTCGTTTACTCTGTATGATCCTGGTAAACAATCTCCACCGCCGACAGCGACTACTTGTCTCGCGATCTCCGGCTCTACGCAGAGTCGGGTCAACGCAGCTGCCGCGGTAATTTCCAGCCGTTGGTATGCGTCTTCCAGACCCGGTGGCCTCATTCGAAGAAAAGAAACTAATGCTACAGAGGCTCGTGCCTTTGCTAAATACGATCGGCCTTCGGGAACTCGCGCCAGTTCACCGATTAATGCGGCGACCTGCTCCATCAGCCATACGTTACCACCGGCGGATTTCTTTACGCTTCTCAGGAGCTTTTTTACGCTGTCCTCCTCCAATATAATTGTAGCGCATATTCTCGACTTGGACAATTGATTCAGCGCCGCGGCGGCCAGCAGCAGGGTCTGTGCGCAATTAGTATTCTCGACCAGCTGATTCAACGCCGGAATCAGTGAGTCTGCAAAGGGTTCGAGATACGGTAAACCTCGTGCATTGGTCCACGATGCCGTGATTTGCACTACTAAGGCAGTGGCTTCAGTCTTTTCCTTTTCGGAGGAGGAGCCCGCACCCAAGAAATCCGTCAATAGCTCGGGACCGCCTTCTCGGGCGAAATATTCGATAGCTGTCGCGGAATTGCACACGCTGGCCAAAGCACGTAACGTGATCGCAACGAGATCATTTGATAGTCGACTGGTGGTGACAAGACACGTTAAGAGAGCCTTTATGCCGGAACATCGAGCTATACTGCTTCCCGCGCGAGCATCTGACAATCCTAAAGCCGTCAGGGCTGCCAGAGCGCCTCTAGCCACGCTACTATCCTCTCGTGGAGCTTCCTCGAGACCTCGGACTATTTTCTGAAAAGAAAGTTTTGTATCCTTAATTTTTGTATGACTATAATTCAGTCAATAAATATAAGATGATGTAACTAACCTCGATATAAAAATCTAAGCGTGTGTCCACTGTACTGTCGACGTATATTTTCATATTTTGCAATTGCGCGAGGATGCTTCTTAGACTACCCTGTTGTACCCTGCGAGGAGGAGGTGCACCTAATTGAGAGAGAACCGAGAATGCGGCTTCCTCTATATTGCGAAGAAGCTCCATTTCGAATCTGCCACTTTCCAGCCGAGTTATTTTCCTGCGCAACGACAATTGATGTAATTGTTAAACTATTAATCATTTTAAATCACCACTTTTAAATATCAACAATTTCATGTATAGTTTTCTTGCTTTACAGTTAGCCGTGGATTTTATAACACTACTATAATTGAAGATAATTATCTTTAAAAACAAAAATGTGATATTGTAATGTCGGTATTATAAACAAGCATAAAAATATAAGATGAACAATCTTTATTAAATAATATCATTAATCAATTGCGAAACGTTTCGACTCATACAGAAGTCCATACAGAGTCGAAACGTTTCTCAATTGATTAATGACATTATTTAATAAAGATTGTTCATCTTATATTTTTGTGCTTGTTTATAATACCGACATTACAATATCACATTTTTGTTTTTAAAATATAACAAGCGTTATTTTAATATTTATATTTTTATAATTATCTTTAATTGTGAATGCAACAAATTCGAAACAATTAAGATATCTGCTCGCCTCGATATTATTAAGAGGATTGAAAATTATATATATTAGAAGATTAAAACATACTCCACAATACTCTGATAATGTTGCTCGAATTGTTCTGCGTTAACTAGAAGTTTGCTTGCGGCCGCTGTGGCTGCAGAAGACAACGTCTTCAAATCCCGCGCGTGAACTTCGCCAGACATCATCTGGACTCCTCTGTGCGGTAAATTCTTGTTTTGCAACGTATTGCCGCACTCGTTCTCGGTCATCGTAGTGAGATCAGTTAGCCATGCCCTCATGGATGACGATTGACGATAATTTCTGGACTTCAACACGTCCCTACCGGCGGCGATTGCTTCCGCGGCGTTAGTGGAAGCTCGCGATTTCGTTATTGACGGCTGAACGCTGTCTTCCGGCGGCTCAGACGTGTACAGAAAATCGCACAGACTCTCTTCTGCCAATGATACAGAGGAAGGTACTTTCGATGCATTATTGTCTCGATCCTCGTCAGCCCTGGAAAAGAAAATTTGGTAAATACAATAAGAAATTATGGAAATAAAAAATAATTTTAAATATTACTCAGCCAATCATCAAAGAGCATTCTACTTTTCCAGATATCCTTTCACAGCTTTTAAATATCTTTAGGATTTCATTTTATTTGGACGGCGCTTATCGTTACCCTCAAATTACACTACCTTAAACGAGCCATAGCGAGTCGACGCAGATCTTGGCACGATTAATTGTCATTCTGTTACTGCGAGACGCATTGCAATGCAATGTATTCGTAATCGTCGCCGACCGCTTTTTTCCGGACAGACGGAAGCGCCGAGAGCAATTAGTGGAACTTAAGAGCTGACTAATCGAATCGTTGCGGAGAATAGTCGATCCTTTTCCCCGCGTACGTGATGACTAATCTCGCGCTCCTTCGACACGTTGCGTTGTATTGTAATGCGTCCACCTGCGCGCCGCGCGCCGGTGCATGTTAGAGCTGAATTCTTTGTAGATTCGCTGTCGCGTACCGAAAGCACGGCCTAAACAGTTGACTCAAACCTCGGGCTAGCCACAACCTCGCGCTCATTCATTTACGTATTCTCCTCGTGCGGCACGTTGCATTGACTCACGTACGCCGCGAATGTACACGGTGACGAACAGAAAAGCACGACCGTACAAGGGACTCCAACATGATTGGCATCTCAATCTTATGACGAATTTCACACCTGATGGAATACAAGAATAAACATCCATTTCTATTGCAATGTAGATTAATTTTCATCTCAGTTTAATTTATTTTTTATTTTCTTCCAGTTTTAAAAATTAGAAAAGAAAGAGTAAATTGAATTGTAAGATTCAAGTTAATTTTTACTTACAGTATGAAAGAATTATTATAGCGTATAACGCTATAAATAGAATTTACTCTAAAGAGAGCCTCTAATAAATAGAAAAAGAAGGAAAAGATCGGAGTACGCATGGAAATCAAGAAAAGAATGGACTTTCCTTTTCCTATATTATTTCATTTTGTCATAATGTCGCATTACACAAGATGCAGGTTTAGCTGGATGTGCAATACGTGTTTCCTTTATGATCGCATTTTACAGCATAGCGATTGTGCTTTTCAATCAGCGGTAAATAATGCGTAATCTAATGACTGCTCTCTGTGTTCAACTCCGAGATGCGTAATTGCACACATATTTCATTTAACCGATTCGAATCACTACGAGTCATTGTACGGCGAGACCTCGTTACATGCCGTAATAAGTTGGTTAGCTGTGCATACGAGGGCGCGATACGCATACAATGACTCGGCGATAAGCCGAAGCACCTTCACGGACTGAGGACTGATAATCACCCACTCGAGGTCGGCGCATTTCTCGCTGTATTAAATATGACACCCAAAGAGAGGAGCCCGATTCTCGAGCGTGCGTCATTGCTTACGACACAATATATATAAGTTGTGTGATACGATCCATGCATGATCTTGATACTTTATTCTACATTATTCTGTATTATTTGATTATTATGTACGGTGGAATTAAGCAGCGACAAAATATTGCCTTACGTGTCGCATTCTTTCACCGATTGGCTCATATATTTCTCCAATCTTATCGCGACGATTCCCCGAGCATTCCTCCGGCCCCCATTACACAGTTTTGAAAGTTAAAAATTATTAATATTATCGTTATCGATAGTGTAACTTTTCAAGGAACTATAAGCGTGTGTTGAATCAGATCCAATCATACTTTCTGAGTCAGCAACGCGCTGAACGTACTACGCTTGAAATAAAGTAAAACGGATATGCCTGTATGCAATTTACTTCGCTTTTTCTTCAGCCTTTTTTTTTTAATAATGAGTTTTAACTTTTTTTTTTATTAACGTAATAAAATAACTTGCTCACCTTCGTTCTCGCGACGGACTTCTTGCGGGTTTTTCTAGCCGATTTCTCGCGAATATCCTGGAATCCTTTGGCGTAGATGTATGTGTCGGTATCGGGGGAGATTCTTCCTCCAGCCATTGAGAAGCTGGCTGGAGCCTACGTCTCATCCGTTTTCTCCTCAATTTCCGCCTTGGAGTTGCGTTCTCATAAGCCTCCGAACAGTCTGATCTCTCAGAATCAGAGAATCCAGAGTCCTGACTTTTGAAATCTTGGCTCAGAGGACTGTAGGATCTGTTTCTTCTCTCGTGCTCCTCCTCTCCTTTATTCGTTTCCTCCATTGACATTCTAAATATTTAAATATTCGTATTATTAATATATTAATTGACACAATGTCAGTAACATAATTAACTTGAATTGATCGTGAATTTTTATAAATTATTGAGATTGACTTTATTAGAACAGGGGCAATCATCTTGAGAGCAATTATTTTAAATTATTTACTATTTAATTAATAAGTATCTAAAAATGATTTTTTATATATTTTTTTTAATAAAGATAAAAATTGTATAAGGTCATTTGATCCTAAAACATCTTGCTTTAATATTCAAACACGCTTATGTTTTCTTTATTCTAACAGGATTGTGTAAGTTAATATATTTTTTTAATTAAATACAGTTAAAGTTAATGGTTTATAA